TCGAGACTTGTACTGCCAGCTGGGGGTGACTCTGGGAGAGGGGGGTGAGGGGGAGGGAGAGTGAGGAATCGTGTAAGGGGGGTTGGTGTGGACGCAGGACAAACAGGAGCAGGACGAGTTGGAGGCGGAGTGGAGTGGAGCGGACCACCTGTCAGAGAGAGATTTTCTACTCAAGTGAGCTTGGCCTATGATTCACATACGGCCTCAAGCAGCGTTGCGGCACGGAGGAGGAATAAGATGGGATAGAGGATGCGGGGGGGGGAGGAGGAGGAGGAGGTGGAGGTGAGGGCTGAGGAGGAACATGAGGTGCAGGAGGAGGACGAGGGGCCGGTAGGGCGCGCGATGGGGAGCGGGGCCCTGCGATCACTCGCTCCTCGGCGGCGGAGGGGCGCTCGCCATCGTAGGCTCCCTCCCTCGAGGCCCTCTCGGGAGGCCAATCTCTACACAACCAAACGCTGACGTCCATCGAGGCCTGGCAAAATATGGTCTACATCATAGTTCAATATGGTCCATTCACCCTCTCTTGTATTCTCCGATCTTGGACTCCCTCCTTTTGGACGCCCCCGAACTTATACGCGCACGTAGCGCACGGCGGATCGCACAGGTGAAGAGGTTCCACTCTCACGCCGTGGGCAAGGCGTTCGACGGCGAGTCCGTGGCGCGCTGCATCGCTCACCCGAACGTGCTGAAGACGTTCGAGGTGACCACCAGGGCTCCGTACCTGCTCGTGTCGGAGCGCAGGGGAGGAAGAGGTACCCACGCCGCTACCCCTCCCCCGTCTTCCCCTTTTTGTCGGCCTCTGGGCAGCTCTCGCCGCCACGGCTGGGGTCGCCTCGAAACCGTGGTCAGAACGCACCCCGGGAGAGGTTCGTGGAGTAGCGTCTACAGGAGTACTTATATTCAAACATTGTCAAACATAGTCTTGGGGGCGATGTTTTGAAACTTCTGTTTGAGAGTTTCTTATTTTTCGTCAAACATCCGCCTGGACCCAAGAGTAGCGGTGCCGGTCGGTACCTTCTGTTCTCCCCAGGAGTACTGCGAGGGCGGCAGCCTCGCCGAGTGCGTGTATAGTTCCTCGGTGTCGGTCTCCTGGGGCCAGCGGCTCAAGGTGCTCGTGGACGTTGCCAGGGGCATGGAGTATCTGCACATGCAGAAGCCCTGCATCCTGCACAGAGACCTCAAGACTGGAAACATCCTCCTCACCAGACCCATACCAGGCCAAGCTAAGCGGGGACGGTGTGCACGGGCGCGATGTGAGTGAGAACCCAGGCGTCCGCATGCAATCAGCCTGTAACATGCATGTTTTCCCCTTGTGGACAGGATGAGGAGGATGAGGAGGATGAGGATGGTGATGATAATGATGCGCACGAGCATCAGCAGGAGCAAGCGCACGTTGTCGATGAGGAGAAGGAGCAGGTGGAAAGAGGTGGAAGATGAGATGAAGGCAGGGAGGTTGGAAGGGGGGAGGAACATAGGTGATGACAACGAAGAAGAGCCGCAGTGGATGGAGGAGAAACAGCAATAGGAGGATGAGGGGGGAGGGTCTGGGGGGACCAGTGCTGCGAGAATCGCTGCCGGCGCGATGGGAGCAAGCAATCTCTCTCAGCAAAGATGCGCAGGGTGTGGGTGGGGGTGCTCGATTGCCTGCTTGGGGGTCCCCTGCCGTGCTCGTCAGAGAGGAGAATCGGAAATCGCTGTTTGGGGCTGATCACGGGGCTGTTCACGGGCTAGTTGCAGTGCCGTTTTAATACATGCTCCGCGTGCGGATCATGTATTAAACATAAAGGGATTCAGTATTCGAAACAACGGTGAATTGATGCATTGATTTATTAGTGAATGAATCTTGTAATAAAATCCTATATGTTTGAAAATTCCATGTATTCAAAATTGCCCTGTACTGGCATCGGTGGGCTGTCTTGGGTGTTCTCCGTGGCCTCCGCGGGCCTCGCAGGCAAGCACGCGGGGCTTGGGAGGGGGGTCGAGCGAGGGAGAGGCAGCATGCCCGGGCGAGAGTGGGCTCTGGCCCGGTGCCGATGCCTCGCTTAGCTCGGCCGGGCCATCGTGGACGCCAGCATGAGGCCGACGGCGAAGGTGGACGGATCAACAAGACACACCCGTACGCACAGGGGGATCGGAGAGGGCTATGGGTACGTGTTGTCGGATGGGGTCCCCGCTGGAACGGGAGCGTTCCCCAGGGTCCGACAACCCGCACCCATACCCATAGCCAGTCCTCCTCCCAACGACCCCCCTATGGGTATGGGTGTGTGTTGTTCGTTCGTCAAAGGTGGCGGACTTCGGGCTCTCCAGGCTCAAAGGCGGGCCTGGCGGTGCAACAAAAAGAGAGTGGGCGTCCGCCTGCGCCCCTCGAGCGGGGAGGACAGGGAGGGGGGAGGGGATTTTGGAGTGAGGGGGCTGCGGGGGCCAGAGTATTGGAGGGCTTGGTTGGAGGAGGAGGAGGAGGAGGAGGAGGAGGAGGAGGAGGAGGAGTAGGAGGCGGAGAGGAGAGGTGATGACGGGAAAGGAGGGGAGAGAAAAGAGGAGGAGGAGGAAGAGGAGAAGGAGGAGGACCAGAGTAATCTCAGGGTGCATCAACGATGCTGCAATACAGCGTTCCCGTCTCAAGTCTCCTCCCCATGAATCCTTGCAGTTCCTCCGCTTGCTCATTCAAGAAACGGAAACCCCCCTTGAACGACCAGCACTGGCTAGGAGCCCAGATTCGCCCTGCACTCCCACTGTAAACCTAATTTGCTCTCTCCGCCATCCAATCGCAAAACAAGTTTCACGCGCGTACGAAACTCGCCAGCTGCGTCGAAACTCCTAGATGGCGGGCAGTTGCACAGACTCGGGCAGCATGCGCGTGCATTCTTTCATGGCGCGCCCTCGGCTGTACTCACAGGGACGATGCCGAAATGGCAAGTGCACACCCGCTGCATGTTTCGTAATCGCACGGGTCCGTAATCCCTCCGCTTGCCAAACCTGTTTGAAATCGCCATCGACGTAGACCCTGATGATTCCGACGAATCTGTCAACATTCCTGAAGTCACCAGATGAGCCGCACGAGCAAGCATGCGTGTCGAGGTACCGTGGGACCGACGCCCAACGTTCCACTTCGTCTTCGCAATCAGGTTGAACAAGCGGCGCGCCAAAGAGCTCACGACAGATGGGAGTGCATTGACATGTTTGAGGACCTCTGGGGACACGGAGGGCCCGGCCGGCCCGCCTGCCAGTTGATTTGGCAGATTGTTTGTTTGTTTTCGTCCATCTTTGGCGCAGCCGGCCCAATGCACATTCATGTCGGGAGGCGCAAAGGTGCGAAAGTGGTCAGGCATTGGTCGGGCTGGAGGCGGGGCGCGCCGAGAACAAACGGGGGCTCAACGGACAAAAAGGCAGGAGCGAAGCAGAGGGAAGGACAGAGCGCCGCTCAGATCGTGTAGACCTCTGCGGGTGTGCTGGCAGAGAGGACGTGCGGGTGGCGTAGCAAGCAGCGGGTGGCCAGAGAACAAGCTGAATGCACGGTTACACCACGTGCTCTTTACGACGGATGCTGCGAATGCGTTCGATGGCTGATGTTTGCAAGACAGACAGGCTTATCGGGCATGTGCAGCATATCTGTGCCGGATGGAACCCACATGAAAGCACCCGATGGAACCAAGGTGACACCGTATGAAACCAATGTGGGACCATTTGGGACCCTATGAAATTCAGTTGGAACCGTATGCCACCCTATTGTGGCATGCCATGGTGAGTGGCCGTGTACCGAGGGAGCAAAGCATTACAGTACCTCAGGCATGCGGCAGGTTCGTGGGCCGCGAGGCAACGAGCAAGCTCGTTATGCCGACGTGTGCGGTGCTAATCCTCATATTGGGCTGATATTGTGCACGCTGGAGCTCAAGCGAACCTGTCTCATTTCATTGCGGGCTGCGCGTGCAGTCCTTGACCGATGCGATGTTGATGCGATGTTACGCTATCGGCCTTGAGGCCGTAAACTTGGGATCCGGGACCTTACACACAGCATCCTTGGCCTCAAACACGGGGCCGCGGGTTCACGTGTCCGCTTATCTGTGCATATCAATGGATGGTCGCAAGCCAGCACCCTATGGGCCTGCCGTTGGGGCGAGAGCCCCGTTCTGCGAAACGAGTTGTTTCGCACCCGTCGGGCGAACAGGAATTACAACGAACACGGCCATACAGTATAACGAGGTGTCCAGCGAGATTCCCGTTTGTTGAAAAGCCGCACCATCGGTGTAACATTTGCACGATATCACAATTCCAGCCATGAGATTCGAGAACGATTTAATCGAGAGTGCTATTCTCGGAAGGAAGAACCGCCCTACACCCTTGCAGCTGTTTTACATGTGCAAGCTTCTTGTCGATAAGTTGAAGCGCGCCTCAAGCGAGTGCCCCATTTGAAGAGGAACTGCGCTCCATTCTTGTAGATGGTGCAAGCCGTCAAGACGATTGAGAACGGCGTTGAGGCGAGAGCCCCATGTTAAAAACGAGATCCCCTTTGAATGTTGAGCTGTTGCAAGCTTGTTTGCCGGATGCAGTCAGCGATAATGCGCGAGAGCCACATGTTGAGATCGACGCCCCTCATTTTTGTAGCTATTGCAGGCTTTTGAGACAATTGAGAACATCGTTGAGGGGAGAGCCACATCCTTGCAACCTGTCCCACGTTTTTTGAGACGACTGCGCGATTCACGAAGGCGATAGTTTCCTTCCGAAAAAAAAACATCCTTTCTCCATCCATGTCGCACTTGCAACCTTCAAGTTTCAGGATCATACATTGGAAGGTGTGACGGGCGAAACGACAGAGCCGCCCTACCGACACGCCCAGTGGTGCGACAGGGGGGGTACTCTAAACATAAATGGACAGATGAGGAGGAGCAGAGGCGGATGATAACGAGGATGAGGAAGCGGATGACGAGGAGGGAGGGTGGGAAGATTGAGGGCCGTGAGTGTATAGTAGATGTTCTGCTCTTGCCTCCCCAGGAGGGGGACAGATGAGCACGGCCATGACGCGCGCCGTTGGCACGTGGCGCTGGATGGCTCCCGAGGTCATCACGTCCTTCTCCTTCTCGCCCTTCCTCAAATATATATATATATACACACACACACCGTGCACAATTTATATATACACGCACGTACTAGGTTTGTCAGCGAGGACCCCAAACATTTGTTTAATCGTACTATGTGCAGTGGTGCGTTCTACGTAGTGCAAAGTATGTGGTGCAACCTGTATGTTTGTATGTTTACCTATGTGTATAATGCGCGTGTCGTGTGTGCCATGTGGTGCAGTCTATGTGGTGCACACTCGCTGGTGCAGTCAATGCTTTTTGTTTAGCTATGTGGTGTAACACACGCGGTATGAGCTAGGTGGTGCAGTCCATGTGGTCCACACGATGTGGTTCAACACATCTGGTGCGAGCTGCGTGGTGCAATCTAGGTCGTGCAAGCTATTTGGTGCAACCTACACGGTGCAACATATGTGGTGATCTCTGTGTGGTGCAATCTTTTCGTCTCAATTTACGTAGTGCAATGTACGTGGTGCAAATCACCAATCTTCGCATTGACTCATCAACTCCACTGCTCCCGCAATCATCCCACCCACCCACCCGCAATTTGGTTTGCAAAACCCATGCGGAGGCGATTGCGAGCAGTACTTGGTGTTGGCTGGTGCATCTTCGCAGCAGCGCTAGCCCGCGCATACTCGCGCGCGCAGCGGCCAGCGCGACCGACGCGGCCGCGGTGGCGCTGACCGCTTGGCACAAACCAACGACCCCTTCTCTGCGAGTCGGTGACTTGAGCGGGCGCGGTATCATGGCAACGTCGACATCGGTAAACACGATGCTGATAGTATCGATGGTGGTGGCAATGTTGACAACGACGACGGCACGGCCAGTGACGGCGCCGATGCTGAACACGCCGACGACGATGACGGCGTCCTCGTGTCAGTGGCGCACGTTTTGCGAGGACTTCGATATGCGCTCGCGGCCGACGCGCGAGTGGCCCGCATGGTATGATTTGACATGGATCGTGCCCTCCCAGCACGTGGGCAAGGGCGTTCGAATAAGTTCGACATGTAACGCGAGGGCCCGTTCGGTAGAGTTTAGTGAACACGTTGAAATCTTGAACGCTCTGAAGGATTTGTAAGAACGCGAGCGTAGGCTTGTTTGAAAACTGTTGTTGCGAATCCATGTGTCTTGTTATATGCTTACGGGACACTCGACCTTGAAATTCTTACTAAAGCTTCTGCTGTTGAGGGCTTACGGCATGCGCACGCGACCACGCGCGCGCTCGCACTTCGTCCCATATGTGGCAGGGACTCTTGCGACAGCACGCGTGCAAGGTCGTTCGACCGATGTCGATATGCGCGCGCTAAGCCCGTCGAGCACCATGATATGCCAATGTTGAAACAGCGATGGTTCTCTCAAGAATTCGCAAGAGCGCGCGCAAGTTATTTTAGAGCGTTTTTGTTGCCGAGAGCATCTGTGCTTATATGTTTTCGGGGCATTCGATTTTGAAAACCGAGTAAAAACCTTACGAATCCCAAGGTTATTGAAATATTCTGGCATGCGCGCGCGTCGACGCGCGTTCTTGGGCCGTCTATTGCGCCTCTTGTGCCGTCTCGAGGCGCTCTTAGGCCGTCTTGGGGCCCTCTTCGGCCGGTTCGGGGTGGTCTTGGGGGCCGAGTGGGCCGTCGTGGAGCGTCGGAAAGCCGGCAAGGCGAGCCAATCAATGAGTTTTGCTTCTTGGGGCCCTCTTGGGAGACCTCTTGGAGGCCTCTTGGGGCGTCTTGGAGGTCTCTTGGGCCATCTTGAGGCCATCTTGGGCGACCTAGGGGCCCTCTTGGGCCGTCTTGGAAGCCGCGTGGGGCAAACTGGGCCCGTCTTCGGGACCTCCTAGGGCCCGAACAAGATATGCGACAAGACGCTGGGTAGCCCAGGGGAACCGCGACAAGGCCCGTAAATTTGAGGATTTGGGCTCTGGGCCCCTGAAAGACTCCGCAGGCCAGACGACCGAGGCTCTCGGCATTCGTTTGGCAAAGGACCTGCTGGTGTTTTCTGTCTGCGGGCCCTGCGCCCCGCGTGATTCGTTGCCTCCTCATTGTCCCCTGCCTCCGCCCGCTCCTCCACTGTCTTTGCCCACGCACGCCTGGGAGGTTATCACCAGCAACCACTACGACGAGAAGATCGATTCGTTCTCTTTCGGCATGCTGATGTACGAGGTCCTCGCCCGCAAGGTGCCGTACGCGGACACGGTGCCCCCCACGAACACAGATCCCCGCATGGGCCTGACGATCGTGAAGGGCTTGCGGCCCACAGTCTCCCTCGTTCAGCAGGGGTGCCCAGCCAGGAGCTCGAAGAAGAAAAGACGGCATAACCATAACCTGTCGGAGGTCGGCGTGGATTTTTTTGATCGGCGCTGGACACCCTTCCATATCGCGCGGAGCGCGCCAGGGGTGGCGCCGAGGGGCGCCGCCAGGGGCTGCCCAGCGCTTGTTCAAGAAATCCGTGCGGACCTCTGAAAGTGTATGTTTGCGCCGTCTTTTCCTCCCTCCAGGACCGCCAAGTTGATGGAGGCATGTTGGGCCCAAGGCAGCAAAGACAGGCCCGATTTCACAATGGTGAGGCAGCAGCTCGAGAGCCAGCTGGATCTTGTAGCACTGTATGGCCAAGTGAAGAATGACATTGACTTGTGAGTCCGAGACGGATTCTTGTTACGGATGTTTGAAGAACGTTACGGTGCATGGCAGCGCCTGCGCTTTCCTTTCCTTTCCTTTCTTGCCGTTGCGAATGTCCTAAATAGTCGTACGGTTTCGATCGACCATTTTTGTCACACGCACCGCCATGTTTATTATGGCACGGTGCCAGTTCCGAAAAGTGCGCGCAGCATATCGCAAGGCGCACGCGCCTGACCGTGCCCCAAGGCCAGTCACTGCGAATTGGCTCCCCCTGGCAGTGCTCGTTTTTGTGTGCGGGCACCGTAGGAGATGATCCCCAGTTCTTGTTCGACGGCCCCATGGCCCGAAGCGGGCTCCCGGAATCCCAGACTAGACAAGCGCGTTCCACTACTCGCAAAGTAACTACTCGCGGCTGACCTGGATCCGCCGCGGGGGGTGAACGATATTACATCGAGGCAAGCGATTTTTTCCGACATTTGCGAGTAGGTACTTTGCGAGGAACGCGCTTGGGTAAACCCGACCAGCACGATGATCTTGTGGAGGCGAATATGAGTGGCTCGGTTCCCTTGAGAGGGGTGAGGCGGATTTTCGCGTAGGGCGCTCCTTGAGTGCCCAGCTATGAGCACGGTATTGGCGCCATCAGCAGGCGTGACCGCGCTGCGGGCAGCCCTTTTCGATCCTGCAGAGTGGGGGTGGCGGCGGCAGTGGTAGTGCCGAAACGCGCCTAGAGTCTGGAGGACGCGTGTCAACCGAACCTCCAGGGTGGGCTCTTTCTATCTTTCTTTGCACTACTGCTGTGGCTTCGGCTTTAGCTGTCGGTGCAACGTGAAGCGTCTCCGGGCCAGCTCACCCGAGTCGCATTTCCGCTCACATAGATACCCCCCTTTTTCGCATAAGATTTTCTCCTTCTCCTTTCCCTCCCCCTTGCCTGTCACCTTCTCCGTTTCCCTTCGTCCTCCATGTTGTTGTCCACATGTTCTTTCTGATTATCTTTCTCTTTATCTTGCGTCCTCGTTATTCTTATCTTTGTCCTTTCTCCTTCTGACTCTCTTTCTCCTTATCCTCACGTGTATCCTCTTCCCCTCTCCCGCCTCCTTCCCGTCCTCCTGGGTCCTCCCGCTCCTCGATCGCCTCGTCCTCCTTCTCCATTTCCTTCTCATGAATATTGAATTCCTTTTTGGGCGAGCAGCGTGTGCTTGTAGCGTCCACCGCGGCTGCGCAAGATGCTGCCGAACAATTGGCCTGGTTCCGCTCCTCTGCTTGGGCGTGACATTAGGGAGAAGCCAGCCATGCATCGCGCCGCGCCGCTGCTGTCACCGACAGGAGAACCACGGCTACTGGTACCACATTTGCGGGTTTCGGCTGATGCGTATCGTGTTTTATTGTTCAGTCTTGTTCGTGACATTCGAGAATTCGTTGTGTGTGTGATATTATTCGGTTCGGGTTTAGGGTGGTTCTGCAGTCGGTTACGCTGGCATGTCTCACCATCATTGGCATTGCTAGTTGACGCGTATCAGTTCGTTGTGCCTGTCTGCTGCGTGCGGTTGCGCAGCTGCTATAAGGCCGTGTAGTTGTTTTCCCGTTATATCCCCGAGCTTGCCATCAGGACCTTGATCTCGTGATCTCGGCTAGCGGTTGCAGACACGCTGTCGCCAAGCATTTTATCAGACAGCGCCGGGTATTCAGGCAGATGTCGCAACCAAGAATACATGCTACCTGATCTTGCACGTATCACGCTTCGTGACCCCATCGAATTTCGACCCATTGCATTCCTTCCTTCCCTTGCTTCTCCTCCAGTTTCACGGCGGCACATACGAGCTCGGAATCCGATGTTGCATTGTTGGGGGCACCGCCATGAGGAGATCGCGCACGTCACTGCTACGCCTGCCTAGTGAGATTGCCTCCTGGATGTGCCACTTCGGATGACCTTCAACACTGCCGCGGCATGATCCCTTTCTGGGCCCCTGCCTGCCCGCGCTGCCCTCGTATGGCTCATCTGTCGGATCGACGGCGCGTGCCCTCTCGCTCGCTCCATGATGGCCCTGGCTCGATCCCGTTCGGTTCGATGGGGTCGGTCAATACGGTCTGGGCTGGACCATGGTCTGGTCCCGCCAGGTCGGCTCATCGGGCACCCAGCCGTCGCGTGTTCCAAGTCCTGCCTTTTGGTTTTGGCCCTGACGCCAGTAGCGTTTCGTGGACTAGAACCAGTATCGTTCAACCGACCCCTATCCCCTATCCCCATTCCCATCCCGACCCCCACGATCTCACCACCCCAGTTGGAAACCCGAACGGAACAGCCCACATCTCCATCTAGGGGGTAACTCGGCCATTGGGGCCCAGGCCACGCCCATGGAGATAGGGGTCGGTTAGACGATGCTCACAGAAAGTGAACAGTTGCACAGATATTCAGTCGGAGGTCCGCGCGGATTTCTGGGCGGCGCTGGACCTAGACATCCATGCCCGGTGCGCCGGAGCGCGCCAGATGCGTCTCCTGGAGGGGTGGCGCCAGAGGTGCCGCCCAGGGGAGTAGGCATGGGGCGCTGACGTTCGAAAGCGCACGCTGGATCCCCTAGCAGTGCTTGCACTAAGGGGTTATTGCTTGCATCTCCCAGGCATTCCCTGTCACTGCGCTTGCACTGAGGGGCTTGCGAAGTTTCTCTAAACTTGGCTGGATCTTGTGGTTTTTCTTCCAGTGCTTGCTCGTGATAGCGTAGATGGCAGCACTATCATAGCTCCATAGCTTGCAAAACGTGTATTGGGCGACGTAGCTTGCACCACGCAGCTTTCAGCAACAATTCACCGTCATCTTCCCAACAACAACTGGACTCCCCTCCCGCCGAGGCTGGGGTTCGCGGTATCCCTCAGGGCATCTCTTTGCATAGTCATTTTGAGCGATCGCGCCGCAGCTGCGTAGACCTCGTTGGCGGATCGCAGGGCGGATGGTCTCCCGCCTGCAGCACCGAAGGAGCCTTCTTCCGCACCTGCTCTGCCCGACGCCACCGACGTGGGCAGCTGCAGCGACTGGCAGCGGCGGGCGCTGCATCCGCAAAGCTGTCCTCGTCGGTGACGCCGGGCGGGGCCCCCCGCTCACCAGCGGGCCCTGTCAGCTGCCGCCCCACGCCTAACTAGTCCTCGCGGGGTAGTCTATGGGAGGGGAGGGGAGGCGCGCGCCGATCGTGCTCCATCTCTCCTTCTCTCTCTCCCTCGTCCTCTTTTCTCCCGTCTTCATCCTTCTCCTCCTCCTTTTTTGGACTTGGAGTCAGGATGATGTGCACGAAGCGCCACCCGCCAGGAAAAGGAACACGAGAAGGGACAAGGGCAGGGCAAGCGAAGGAGAGCACGCGGAGCATGCGGTGAACTCGGGAGCCTGCCAGGGCAGGGACGGGGTCCCGGCACCCAAATGGGGCAGGGCGGGCCGAGGCCTCGCACCATGTTGCCTCGGGCCCGCTAGGGCTCTGGGCCAGAGAGTTCGCGAGCAAAGCCATTGCCCATGGCTCGCGCAACGAAGGGGACGAGGGGCACCCAGAATGCCAAGAAGTCTGGCTCGACCTCCTCCGAAGGGGCACCCGGGACCAGAGGCCAACCCCCCAGGGAAGCCTGAAGGAAAACAGAGGCAGTAGTACGGTACATGCCCTGGGGGTGCACCTTAGCCCTATAGGCGCGCCACTGCCAATAGCCCACAAAGCCCGCAAGGGTCGCATGGCCACGGGGGCCGTGGGAGCCCCTCCCGCCCCCCCGAGCAGCCCGTGCTCCCATGCTAAGAGACGGAAGGTGAACCGAAAGAAAGAGAGTAGGCTTCCTCGACGGCGCCCCGAAAAGGCAAAGGTCGGTGAGGACCCCCTCAACCTCGGGCCGTCCGAGGAGAGCCTCCAGCACGTCGAACATCCACGCCGAAGGGGCCCCCCGACGGGAGGGAGGAGCAGCGTGCTCCATCACAGCCGGGATTTCGAGGCGGAGGGCGACGAAGAAGAAGAGGCGGAATCAAAAACGGATCGCCACAAGTCTCGAGTCCTCGCCGCAGCTGGGGTCGTAAGCAACGTCAAGGCTGAAATCCCACACAGAGACAAGCGAGGACTCGGCAACCCTCTCAAACTCGCGAAGAAAACCGTAAAATCGCATCGGGCCCCAGCGAAAGAAAGCAGGAGGTACCTGGTAGGCTGGCCGACTGGCCTGGGAACTTGGCCCGCAAGGGTTTTGTCCTCAGCATCAACTCGAGCCATGGGGAAAGGTTTCCAGGCACGTTTATCCCTCGGGGCCAGGGCAGGAGGGCAAAACGAAACCCCAGGGACCCGAAAGGCCGGCTTAACAGCAAAGTGAGCAGGTCGACCCGTTTTGCGGTTAGCTTTCCTGGCAGCGACTGTGGCTTCCTTATCCTCCTGTAGTTGCTCGGGGGTCTTGGGGGGCGCCATGGGCCGCCAGGCCTCTCTGCACCTATGATTCCGAACATCAGGATTGTCCGAGATGACGTAGACTGGGCCTCTGCTCTGGTCTTGGAGACTCCATAACAGGTCGAGAGATCCGTCTACATCTGTCCAGGCCCTCACGGGCTCGGGGGCATCGGCAGGGCTAGTGTTTGCTAAGGCGTACCTAATATGCGGATGCAGAATAATGTCGTTAAAGCGATCCGTAGGCCAATGCTTGAGCGCCATAGGATATGAATCCAGGGTCCCTCTGACATCGAGCCAAGAGTCCAGCAGGCAAATCCTCGAAGCAACAGGGTGCGGAGCGGCAGCGACGCGGTTCTTTCGGGCCACGTCCAGCTGCGTGGCGACGATGGGGCCAGCCCCAAGTGGGTCGGGAAGGGGAGGGATCGGAAGGGTACATGCAATGGCAGTCTCCCCGTCATAATTCTGGGCCCTGTGGGGCGCCCTGAAAATCTGCGGAGGTGCCTGCTTCTCCCGCAGACGCCGCCTCAGGTCCTGTGGTTCTAGCGGCGTCGCGCCAGAACCCAACTCAAAATACTCTTGGAAATTCATCTGAGCATGCGGTGGGGGGGTCCCCTGAGTGCCGTGGGTGCT